CTCCAATCCCAAGCCAGGCCAACCAGAAATACTCCACACACTCATGCCCAAGATCTGACTGATGAAGGGCTGAAGGAATGGGATCAAGGCATGACCACTCACTCCCTCATTCTGAAATGTGTGTGCACAACTCCATCATAAATTAGAAAAAAAACATTTTTTAAAAGAGTTTGAAAACGAAAAGATACTGGGCTGGCCTGGTGGCCTAGTGGTTAAGACAGCTGGATACCATATGCTGACTGCACAGTTTGAATCCTGGACTCAGTGGCTTGGGGGAAAAAAGAAAAGAAAAAGGTACTGAAAAGGTACTATAGTGGCACAGTTATACAGTACTGCTCCACAATGCTGCACCCATATAGAGAATCAGGGTTTGGTTTCCAAGTAAACCTGTAAGCATCCATGACACTGGCTGCCTAGGAAAGCAAGGGGAAGAACTGTGGTGTGAGACTCAGTTGCTGATCTAGTTCTTTCAGAAAAAAAAAATTTTTTTTTTTTTTTTGAGATTTTGCTATAGGGTGTGTGCGCTCGCCAGAAAGACAGGGACAGATACAGAAAGCAGAAATCACACCCCAGGGGGGATGGCCACACCGCAATCCCTTTTTCACTCCCCTCTCGGGATCCTAGGCATGCATGCACATGCACCTAACGAGAGTTTAAGCCACCAGGTCCAGGACTCGAACCACGGTCAACAACATGGGAGTCAAGCGACATAGCCATTACACCATCTGCTGGTCTCGAAATAAATAAACTTCTAAAAAAGAACAAAGTCATACATATCTGTGCTACAAGATACTCCCTTATCACTTAATTCAAAATCATGTAAAAACATAGCAAAAGTAAGTTTGCAAAGAATTAAAACAAAAACTTATTCTTTTTTTTTTTTGGGAGAGATTTTCACTGTAGGGCGCGTGCGCTCGCCAGACAGAGAGAGACATAGAGACAGAAAGCGAGAAAACACCCCCCAGGGGGGATGGTCACGCCGCAATCCCTTCTCCTCCATTCTCCTCTCGGGATCTTGGGCACGCACGCACAAGCGCCCGGCGTGAGTTTTAAGCCACCGGGTCCGGGACGCGAACCGCAGTCGACTACGTGGGAGTCCAGCGACATAGCCATTACGCTAATTGCTGGTTCCCTAAAGTTCTTACTGTCAAAGAATCTTTCAGCTTAAGCTCATAACCACATATCTACCCTAAGACAAAATTTTTTTAAAAAAGGCTTTCAAACAAGAATTGAATACAAATTGGTTCTATTTCATTACAGTTTAAGTTCCTGAAATTATATACATAATTCATGTGATTGTGCTTATGTTCCTTTTTTAATGTGAGGATCCAATTTGTCTCTCATCATATTTTCAGGGAGATAAGTAACCCCCAAAAAACTTTAAAAACAACTAATCTAGCACAGTAAGAAACATGCTATTTTCTAAAGGAATACTGTTAACCTGGCTTAGTTCAAGCATTTTCCCATATTTATAATAGGAATCTGTACTAAAAATTAGCCTTTCGAAGAATTCCTTCAGCCCAGCCAAGAACTTCCAATATCCACAGCACATATAAACAATTTCCAGATCCCAAGAACAGTTTATTCATAAATGCCAAAAGAAAATGTCTAAGAATGCACATTCTACCATATTTTGGCCACTTTGTTAAATTCTTAAATACTCCTGTACCCTTTCATATTAAATTGTCTGGAAGACTTAAATTCTCTCCAAACTGAATAGATTTTTTGTTGTTGTTTTTTTGGAGAGGTTTTTGCAATAGGGCACGTGTGCTCGCCAGACAGAGAGAGAGAGACAGAAAGCGAGAAATCACCCCCTAGGGGGGATGGCCACGTCGCAATCCCTTATCCTCCATTCTCCTCTCGGGATCTTGGGCACGCTCGCACACGCGCCCGGCGTGAGTTTTAAGCCACCGGGTCCAGGACTCAAACTGCGGTCGAATACGTGGGAGTCCAGCGACATAGCCATTACGCTAACTGCTGGTCCCAAACTGAATAGATTTTTAAGGAAAGTTTTTGGTTTAAATTCCACAATGACTTACCTGCCTCACTCAACTCAATACCTGTCACTGTCAAGACAACTCTCCTGATATGCAACCAGGTTATTTCAACAGGGACACCTTGACTATTCTCACCCCAAAACAGGAACCATTTGCTGAAAAGGTATTTAATAAACATTTGTTGAATGAACGAAAAAGAATCCTTTCACCCACTGAGTTTTTCAAACAAAGCTGTCAACACCCATGTAGCTGTTCTAGGTTAAACTGAAAGCTTTCCTTCCCTCAAACATATAAGCTTAAGCGTCAGACCTGCTCTTCTTCCTTCATAAACACAAAATAATAGAAACACACATACCCATTTCATACAGGTCAGATTGGCTAAGAACAACCTACATTCCATAGACATGTCTGACACAATTGTTATCTCCCAAATATAACCCAAAAGTGGGACCAGGTGGCATGGTGATTAAGGCGCTGAACACTCCCACATGGCCGACCAGGGTTTGAGTCCTGAATCTGGTGGCTTGCTTTCTCACTTCCTCTCTCTCTCACTCTCAACCTCTGTCTTTCTCTGGTCAAATTAACAAATAAATGAATAAATAAATAAAAATAAAATAAATAATTATTTTTAAAAAAAGTCACATAAAACATATGACTGGGGACAGCAGATGGGTGGTGGTTAAGGTACTGGACTCCCCCTTGGCTGACAGGGGTTGGAGCCCCAGATCCTGCAGCTTGAAAATTACACGGGACGCATGTGCATGTGTGCCCAAAATCCCGAGAGGAGAAAAGAAACTTCATCAAGGCCATCTCTCTCCCATCCTTGCTCCCTCAGTGATTTTCTCACTTCCCTATCTATCTTTCTCTGTTTCTGGGTGAAAATCTATAAAAGAAAGGAAGAAAAAAAAAAGAAAGAACAAAGCCCCTATTTTTCTGATATGCACAGATTTCCCAACAAAGACCTCCTGAAGCACCATGTTATGATGCATATATTAATACTACTGGATTAGTAGTAAAACATACAGGCCTCACAGTCCCAACTTTGTCACTAATTTAACATGTGACCTTGGGGAAAAGTTGTCTTTATGCCACACCTTCTTATTTTGTAAAATGGGAAGAAACAACTATCCTACCATTTTCCCAGAAAAACTCAGAGAGTACTCTGAATATAAAAGTCTTACTCTATTACAAAGTATTAACATAGGCTCGCAGTTTTAAAAAGTCACCCATTCTTTATAACTTCCTAATTGTTAAAGATGTTCTGGGCCTTCACATTTACACAAATCGCTCTAGTCAAAACACACCAACTATTCTTATGACCACGATTGGTTATGCCAACTTTCTCTCCTTCCCGATCCCACACATATATATCGTCTACAATATTGTCATTACCAACAATGTACAACATTACTGTCCAAACAAGTGATTGGGTGCTCCCAATCCCTAAAGTGCTCACACATACATTAACCTAAGAGACCATCCCAACATTCATTTTAAAAATAAGCTAACTTATAAGGGGACTCCATAACACTTAAACAAACACAGGCAAACTCTTCCGGAACACTTTCCATCCCTGCACACACACACAAACACAGCCGCTACACACCAACAGACCATCTGTCTTCTAGACCAAAAACATCTCTTTCCATGCACAGACCAGTGACATTTATTAAACTTGTAAAATTGCGCTCATTCAATGGTTCCTACGCACAGTTCGGCTTTGTCGGGGACACCACGGACCTTGTTATACAGGTAAACTACCCTCTGCAGATCATCTCCCCTGCCACTCTTATCCCTTAACAGACGCAACCTAGACTATAGGGGAGCTCCTATCATGCCTACATACACAAACTAACCTGTCAGGGGCACAGCCGACTCCGCCTCCATTCGCTTACTTTCCCGCCCCCTCCCCCAAGCCAGGAGCCCGCCTGTCAGGGACACCCCTTCACCTCCGCCTGGAGGGACTTCCCGATCGGCTCAGGATACCCTTCCCTACTCTCCCCTCCCCCATCCTTACCACCGCTCTCCCGGAGGTCCAGGTCCGGGAGATGACAGTAGCTCCCAGGAAGCCAAGGATTGAGTCGCAGAAAGAGTACTTAGGCCCAAAGGCCTGCCCAAACCGTTCTACTCACCGTGTCAGAGGCCGAGGCCGAGAGCGATGAGAGTGCAGGGAAGTGGGGAAGAGGGGTGGCCGCTAGGCTCCTCCGCTTCCCTTGGTCCACAGCGGATTCCCCCCCGCTTGTCAGGAGGCGGCCAGCGGGTAAGCGGACTGGCGGAAATGCGAGAGAGGAGAAGGAAAAGGCGTAGGGCTAAAGGGGGGGAAACTGAGGGGAGGCGGGTCCCGCAACCGAGACAGAATCGTTTCCCCCTCCGCAAAGCGAACCCAAAATGGCGGCGGGAGCGGCGGCGGCGGCAGAGCGGCGGCGGCGGCTCCTCGGGAGGGAGGGAGCGAAGGGCGCCTGGTGCCCCCCCACCTCCCACTCCTCCCTCCTCGCGTTC